AAAGAGTGAAGGAAGAGTTTTCATGTTCAGTGCTCACAACAAAAGGACATTCTGTCCTTCTGCAATTACAATGTAGTGACTTAGCTGTACTCCTGGCATGGTTGCTACATCCCATTTCTGCCTCTTATGGTATGCAGCAAACAGTCCCTCTCCTTCTCCAATGTCCTCTAGCTCCTCTTCATCAGGCAGAGGCACAGGTAGCTCAGTCTCTGCAGTGTCTTGCAGGATCAATTCTGGAAATACATGTAACGATGACAGCAGAAACAAGAGAGCCCTTTTTACACTGATGTTGGTGACAGTGTTGGACTGAAAGATGTAATCATTGTGAGTCAATTAGATCAGATTAAGATCAAATGATTAAAAAGTTGCATTAAACTTAATAATATTCACCTTTAACTCATTGTGTCCCCTCTGCCTTTGTGTTACAAGTGACCAGCACATGGGGCTCCACCTACAGCAGAGTAAAAGCTGGATCCAAGGCCGCTGCTTTCAGGTAAATTGTGTCTGAAAACAGGGCAGTGATTCCTTCTTGAGACTGGGCCATTTTCACATTAATGAAAATCCCAAGAAATCTTTTTTTCAGGGATGTCTGGAGACTTCTGACCAGGCCACTCAGGAAACTAACTTGAGGTTTCAGATTCTCTATGTGGTGATTGAGGAACAAGACAGATGGAACAACTGCACTGATTGTGATGACATTCTGTCCCTACGTCAAATCAATTGCTTCCATAAATGGTTTCAAGATGTCCACCAACTCTTTCAACAGATTCCACTCTCGTGGTGAGAATGACAGCTCCTTACGCTCAGCCTGTTCAAGAACAGCACAAAGCTTTAGGTGATCACACTGAAGGACTGCTTTTACCTGCCTCTGTGTTGAGTTCCATCTCGTTTTCAGTGCTTGTGTGCAGAAGTAAGCTAAGATTTGATCACTTGGAAGCAGAAGGACATACTACTTTTGTTTCTTTCAAAGCATCTCCAACAACCAGCTGCAGTGCGTGTGCAAAACACTTCAGGTTTCACTACTGTTTGCTACTACTTCTACTGGTTGCTTATCTTCCAGGGTTAAGTCACACCACAGCTCAGGGTCATCAAGATGACCTCCAGCATTTTGCAGGATCAATTCTAGAAATACATGTAACGATGACAGCAGAAACAAGAGAGCCCTTATTACACAGATGTTGGTGACTGTGTTGGACTGGAAGATGTAATTATTGTTAGTCAGTTAGATCAGATTAAGATCAAATTATTAAAATGTTGCATTGAAGTCAATAATATTTACCTTTAACTCATTATGCCACCACTGCCTTGTGACCAGCACATGGGGCTCCACCTACAGCAGAGCAAAAGCTGGATCCAAGGCTGCTGCTTTCAGGTAATTTGTGTCTGAACACGGGGCAGTAATTCCTTCTTGAGACAGGGCCATTTTTACATTAATATAAATCCCAAGAAATCTTGGGATTTAGCTTTTAGCTTTGATGTCGTATTCATCACATATTACCCCCCCAACCCCAAGGAAGTAGTACTCATTTATCCCAAAATTGTAAAGCTGAGGAGAAACTCCCACTTCTGGATTGGTCTTATTTGCTAGCCTGAAACAAAACACAAATGAATAAAGGGTTAAATACATTAGACAAAAATTTGAAATGGTAGAACATACAATAAATGTATACAATCATTTTAGGAGGCTGTTATGATCGGTACGCTAAAACAACTGTGGCAAAGGATGTCCTCCAGATCAATCCATTTGTTTGGTTTTATCTCAAGGCGAGCATGAAAACTTGGACTAGTATTAACATTACTATTTGAAGTTGTGCATTTTCTAAATTGCTGTCTTTATATAAAGACTCCTATGTATTATGACTTCAGTATGGCTTCTTGTTTGAGGTAATGATCTTACGGTTTGACAGGTAATATCGCCAGATTTTCCATCTGATCCGCAGCATAGTGAAGATAAATGGAAAATTTTCTCACACCATTCTGAATACCAAAATCCCCAGAGACCACACCGTATCAGAATTGCCATGGTATTTTCCATGTAAGATGAACCCAGGAGGAATTAACATTATTTTCCCTGTAAAAAAAAAAGATAGTCAAGTTTTGCATTACTGTATACATTCAAACATATGGAATAATTAAAATCATTATTGGATTCACAACAGTCTCTGTCCAATTAAAACCAAAATTGTGTAATAATAAATAATAATAATAACAATAAGTTTAATAATGCAGTTCACCCAAAAACTGAAAAAAATGCTGTTTGAAAAAACGATGTTAATGGTTACAAGTTTTTAGCAAGTTATTTATTTTTTCAAAATATCCTCTTTAGTGTTCAACAGAAGAGAGAAACTTGTAAAGATTTAAAAGTACTTGAAGGGTAGTAAACAGTGAGTACATTTTGATTTTTGGGTGAACTATTCTGCAAGCGGCAAATGCAGATAATGATGTACTGTAGATTTCACTGTAGGACCTGTAGAAAGATTCCATCAGAATATTTCCTCACCCAAAGTCAATTAGTTTGACTTTGAATGTCTTGGTGTTGATGAGAGGCTTGGAGAGTTTGATGTCCTGGTCAAAAACACTGTGCTGGGAGCACAAGAGCACCCACCATGACTCTCCAGAAAATCCTCAGAATCCTGTCACAGAGAAGAACACTCGAAGATCATGACGAAATGGTCACAGTAATCCTACCATCCCAGCAGTTGGATGATTTCTGGCTGTCTGCACCCTTTATTCACCAATGTAATGACGATCTCCAATGGAAGTTTTCATCTGTGTTGATGCTAAAAGATACATCTTTTTTATTATTCGTAGATTTCATTTGTTTTTCAAATACAGTCATTCCTTCAGTGAACCAAATAAAAATCAGTTTTCAGTGGTGTAAAGCAGGGGTCTCCAAGCATTTTTGTAGCAAGGACTAGAGTTTGTATTGATAATTTTGTCACAGACCAGGGGTTGGGGTTATTCAAATATTTACAATCTGGAACAAGAATTGGATTTATGTGAAATTACATCTATCTCACAAATGCATAATAAAACAGAATTCAACTCACTACACTACCTGACCAAAGTCTTGTCAGTTGTGAGAACAACAAAATATAACTTGACAGCTAGTTGATCATTTTTCATTTTCAGATGAAAATGGAGCCCGCATGGACCTAAGAGTCTCATAATATAATTTCAGGACCGGGAGGGAAAGGCGCAATTTCCAAGAGATTATCATTTGTTTGCAGGCATGTCTATGCATTTGCTGGAGACTCCCGGAACTTCCGGGAGACTTAGGACGTCTGCTCATTACTCTTGAATACTTTTGTTGTGTACTGTGGTTTCAAGTGTAACGCATTTTGAGCCTTATGATGTTCCATATGGGACGCGCAGCGAGATCCTGTGTCTGCTCAGTATGACATTGTAGCATGTCTCCTGTATATCCGCAATATTCAGTAAAGAGTTCTGTTGCATAAGTTTTGTGTCCGTGTCATCGCTTAAGTGCAGCGCACTTACATCCATGAGAGATGTAACAAAACTGGCGACGAGGATAAACGATCTTCCGCGTCACTCAAAGACGCCTGTTATTTAGCCTATGTTAGCAACACGCGATTGCTAACGGAGGGAAAATTATTCACGAACAAAACGAAAATAAAAGTACAACGGCCGCACATCACGACGACGACACACATCGGCGCGGGAAGGAAAGAAAGCAACAACAACAACAAAAAGCAGCGTGAGTAAAAGAAATAAAAGAAGACTAAAGGAAATGGCTGGTCTAGTAGGGCAAATCGGCTCATATGATGAAACTGTAGAGCAATGGAGCTCATATACTGAGCGATTTGATTATTTCGTTCAGGCTAACGGAATAAAAGATGAGGTTTTATTACCAACTTTCCTCAGTGTAATGGGCAGTAAGACGTATAATTTATTACGCAGTCTGGTCCAGCCAGATAAGCCTGGTGATCGCTCATTTAAGGATATTGTAGCATTGCTGCAAGAACATTATGCACCGAAACCCCTCATCATTGCTGAAAGATTCCGCTTTCATAAACGTAATCAGTTAGAGGGAGAATCAATTGCACAATTTGTTGCTGTATTGAAGCGATTATCAGAGCACTGTGAATTTGGTACAACACTGAATGACACAATAAGAGACAGATTTGTTTGTGGCCTACGTAGTGAAACAATACAAAAAAGACTTCTTTGTGAAAGTAATCTCACATTGGAATGTGCAATGGAAATCAGTGTATCTATGGAAATGGCTGCTGAAGAAGCACAAGAGTTAAGTACATCCAGTCATGTAAACAAAGTGTACAGTGAGAAAATGAAACAGGAGCCTAAGAAAGCATGCTACCGCTGTGGAAAAAGTCGTCTTTCAGCACATGAATGCTGGTTTAAAGATAAAGACTGTAGAAATTGTGGAAAAAAGGGCACATCGAGCGTGCATGCCAAAGTAAAAAGCTGATTGCAACAGGGAAAGTAAACTCATCCAAACTTACTGAACCTAGGAAAGATTATATCAGGAAAACAACAAAGAAAAAATGTAAATCAAGTGGAGAATACAGGAAAAGAAGAATATGAATCCGATGTTCTCACATATTATGTCTGTGTCTTCAAACTCTGATGGGTACTGGGTAACTCCACTGCTGGAGGGACAGGCTATTCCCATGCAAGTGGACACAGGCGCAGCGGTATCACTGGTGGCAGAGTCGACGTACAGAGAAAAATGGCCACACCTCCGACCTAAGGAAACAAACCTAACCCTGAAATTATACACTGGAGAGATGGTACCTCTTTCAGGAGTTGTGGACATAACTGTGGAGCTAAATAAACAGAAGGTAAAATTACCATTATATATTGTGAAAGGAAGCAGCCACACAGCATTAATGGGCCGAGCATGGCTAGAGAAAATAAAGCTAAACTGGCAAGAAGTGCACTTAATCGCAAAAGAGTCTACCAGTTTGCAAAACATTCTGAGAAAGCATGCAGAGGTGTTCAAAGAGGAACTAGGAAACATGAAAGACATTACAGTAAAGCTGGTCATTAAACATGACAGTAACCCAAAGTCCTTGAAAGCGCGCCCTGTTCCTTACACAATAAAGCCGAAGGTGGAAACAGAATTTGCCTGCTTGGAGGAAACCGGAGTACTTAAGACAGTGAGTGTGAGTGAGTGGGCCACGCCCATTGTTCCGGTGTTAAAAAAGGATGGAACTGTCCGAATTTGTGGTGATATTAAAGTCACGGTCAATCCTGTGCTAACTGTAGAACAGTACCCCTTGCCATTAATCGAAGATCTTTTTGCTGGATTATCAGGGGGTCAGAAATTCAGCAAAATAGATTTATGTCAAGCTTACCTTCAAATGCAGGTAGATCCTGTTTCACAAGAGCTGCTGACCATTGTTACTCACAAGGGCCTCTACCGATATCAGCGGCTACCATTCGGGATAACTTCGGCTCCAGCACTGTTCCAACGGGCCATGGACCAGATCCTGAGTGGTTTGAATGGAGTACAATGTTATTTTGATGACCTGTTAATTACAGGAAAAGATGATGAGGAGCATCTCAGGAACTTAAATGAGACCTTGCAGCGGTTAAAGGAGTATGGTCTTCGGGTCAAGAAAGATAAATGCGAATTCTTTCAACCTACCATCGAATATCTGGGACATGTTATCGACAGCACTGGTCTCCACACAGCACCATCAAAGGTAAAGGCTATTGTGGATGCACCATCTCCAAGGAACATAAGCCAGCTGAGGTCTTTCCTAGGGCTCCTAATATACTATGCAAAGTTCATGCCAAACCTGGCCAGTACGCTTCGTCCTCTGCATGAATTACTGAACAAGTCTAAACAATGGGTATGGTCTAACAGATGCGAAAAGGCATTCAAAGATGTGAAAAGTGTATTGACACAATCCAAGGTCCTCACACATTACAACCCTTCTTTACCCATACAGTTGGCATGTGATGCGTCTCCATATGGTGTTGGCGCCGTACTTTCACATGTGATGGCATCCGTCGAAGAAAGACCAATCGCTTTTGCATCAAAGACTCTAAACTCTGCAGAGAGTAATTACGCACAAATCGAACGAGAAGCTTTGGTGTAAAAAATTTCCACCAGTACTTGTTTGGACGTAAATTTACTCTGCTCACTGACCACAGGCCACTTACATCTATCTTTGGCGCTCAAACAGGCATTCCCTCATTGGCGGCACACCGCATGCAGCGCTGGGCTCTGCTATTGTCAGCGCATCAGTATGACATCAAATACAGGCGATCTGAACATCACTGTAATGCAGATGGACTGTCCAGGTTGCCTCTGCCAGACACGCCACCTGAGGGCAGTCAAGCTGACATCTTCTACTTCAAGGAAGTGCAAAGTGCTCCAGTCACGGCGGCTCAGGTTAAACGATTCACTAGAACTGACCCAGTTTTGTCAGAAGTTTTGACCTGGATCTCTCATGGTAAAAGAGGAGAGATGACAGAAAACTGCAAACCCTTTCTGAGTCGGCATGATGAGCTCACAGTACAGTCTGGTTGTATACTGTGGGGTTTTCGTGTCATTATACCCCCACCTCTAAGGAAACTCCTGCTCAAAGAACTTCATGCAGGCCACGCAGGAGTAGTCAGGATGAAAGAGATAGCCCGTAGCTACTTTTGGTGGCCTGGCATAGATGCAGAGATAGAGGAGGAAGCAAGGGGCTGTACAGATTGCCAAAATGTTAGAAACATGCCACAATTAGCTCCCCTGCATCCATGGGAATTCCCAGAGGACCCATGGCAAAGAATACATATCGACTTTGCAGGACCAATGGAGAACCACATGTTTCTGGTGATGGTTGATGCTCACAGCAAATGGCCAGAGGTAGCCATATGAATGGCACATCTTCTGAGAGAACCATCGAAGAGCTCAGATCTGTATTCAGTTGTTTTGGCATACCACAGCAGCTTGTAAGTGACAATGGCCCTCAACTCGTGTCAGAAGAGTTCCAGTCCTTCCTACAAATGAATGGTATACGACACATCAAATCTGCACCATACCATCCATCTACAAATGGTCTGGCTGAACGTTTCGTACAGACTCTAAAAAAGGCTCTGAAAGCATCGCAGGATAAGGGTTCCTTAAATCAAAGATTGCACACTTTCCTCTTGGCTTATAGGAATACACGACACGCAGTCACAAAAGTCTCTCCTGCTACAGCATTGTTGAAACGTCAACTACGAACCAGACTGGACCTGCTGAGACCATCTGAAACCAAGCACATTGTCTCCTCACAACAGCAAAGGCAGGTGGAGAGGCGATGTAAAGTAAAACACAGAAGTTTCAACAGGGTTGATTGGGTTCTTGCTCGTAATTATGGGAAGGGATCAAAGTGGGTACATGCAACCATTCTTGCACAAACTGGTCCTGTCTCATACATTGTTGAAACTAGAGACAAGCAGACATGGAGGAGACATGTAGATCAGATATTGTCTTCAGCAATGCCTAGCGATGACTCTGGTGAGTTGGAGAACCAACAGAAATTCTGCCCTCACATTGACCCAGTGAAGGATGTGGTACCTGAAAATTTTCCCACACCGCTTGCTAGGGAGTCACAGGTAATTGCACCCTCTGAGGATACACCTCTTTCACCTGCTACATCAGCAGCTATTACAGACACTTTAGTAAACCTGCCATCTGGTTCTTTTCATCGTTACCCAACTAGAGTGCCGAAACCACCACAGAGATTGGATCTCTAGTTAGAGGCTAACCCACGTCGATGGGGCAGAATAATCCCCAGGGTTTAGCCAGGGAAATGAGGCAGTCTACCCTCTTTCCCTTATGTTGGGACTTATTGTGTTATATTATTATGTTCCCTACATCTATTAAAAATATATATAATAATCAACCGAACATATATAGTGTTAACGTACCCCTGAGTGTTAAAGTAAAGCGGGAGGAATGTATTGTGTACTGTGGCTTCAAGTGTAACGCATTTTGAGCCTTATGATGTTCCATATGGGATGCGCAGCGAGATCCTGCGTCTGTGCAGTATGACATTGTAGCATGTCTCCTGTATATCCGCAATATTCAGTAAAGAGTTCTGTTGCATAAGTTTTGTGTCCGTGTCATCGCTTAAGTGCAGCGCACTTACATCCATGAGAGATGTAACAACTTTTATGCTGCGTTCACACCAGACGTGGATGAAGCATCAAGCGCGAGTGATGCAAAGAGGTGAATAGACGAGAATGACACAATTTACTCAAGTTAAGGCAGATTTCAAGCGCACACATATGCTTCGGCGTAGCCTCTGCGCGGTCGCATAGCCCTTGCCGTGGCTGACGCCAATGCTGACACGCACCTTTTAAAAAATGTAACTACACAGCAAATTCATTGGTGTTAAATTTCAAGTGTTGTGGTAATTCAGAGTAAAATTCTGGAGTTAGATAAAGGTAAAATAACCCTCTCGGCGTTAGAAGCTGATTTGCCCCCTTGTCATACAGAGTAACATTTATCTACCTTTGTAGAAAACCCTTGTATTTGAGAAACTAATCAGAGTGTCTGAAATCTCGCCACACCCTCATTCACCTGGCCCCTAAATTGGTCAATTAGTTTAGTCCACTAGACAGAGGGAATGACCACAAATAAGTGAATTCAGACAACTGCTGTTGAACACCTGCTGTTAACAAGCACAATCACTGAAGGAATAAGAAATTAAAGGAAGAAATAAAACTACAGACACAGCCTCACACCAAACCAACTGAATTAAAACAGAGGATTAAACAACTCCATTAAATAATAGCATAAGCAGCTTCACTGATTACAGTTTGACTTCATTTCTGTAAGAATATTTGACAATGAACAGAGGTTTATATTTTTTTATTAAAAATATTTCATTTGACCTCACCATCATAGAGATCAGAGGCTGCTTATTTGAGCTCTTGAAGCTTTACGCTTGCATCCTAATGTTACTCTGACTGTTATAGCTGAGTTTCTAAAACTCATCAGCTATAGCAAGAAAGGTCAAGAGAAACTATACTGTTTATGCTTAATTGTTATAGATATAATTTCAGGTGTTTAATAAGTTGATTCATAAAATATGCAAATATAGTTGCATTAAAACTGCATGGGACAATACTATTCTCAGTCTGCTGTTCTTCATAGAAGATTCAATAAACAATTAGGATGCAATTAATAATTAGAGTGTCATGCACTAAACATTCAAGCTCCAGATTACTCTTTAAGACACACAGGCATCAAGAATCAGGATATGAACCTCAACCGTGGTTGCTAAAAAAAAAGCTGCATAGTTCATGCCGCAATGCATGCTGGGTGCCAGCATAGTACAAAGCTCCCAGCATGCATTGCAGCATGAATAAATGATGCAGCTTTATGTTCTTACAATCTCTTTCTTTTCCTTTATTTTGTTTTGTTTTTGGGAGGTGATGTTTCAGTAGTGTTTTTTTTTTACTTGATTTTTATTTTTTTGTTTGTCACCATTATTGAGATTCAAAGACTAATTGTTGATGTCTGTGTGGTTTTAAGTTCTGCCATTGATCAAACATTTTCATTGTAAATAGTGTTTTTAAACCTGTTATAAAGTCATTAATTATTAGAGCTTCAGTGATTTCATTTATGCATATTATTTATTTCTCACACATAACTAATATGATACTGAATTAAAAAACAAGCAGGACAGGAAGGCTATGAAATCACAAATAATCTCTTCAGACTGACACTTTAATTTTCTTTTGGCTATCCATGCTTAGGGTTGTAACGGTATGAATTTTTCACGGTATGATAATCGTCTAAAACAATACCACGGTTTGACGGTTTCGCGGTATACGGTATTACAAATGTTACAAAATAATAGAACAGTGAAGCAAATTTGACTTTTTCCAAATAATATATTTTTAGTTACTATAAACAACACCACTTACAATGAACAAATAAAAATAAGAAAATAATAAATAATGTGTCAAAGTCCAAATAAAGTCCAAATAAACATGGTGCAAATCCTCAGTAAAAAATAGATATAAATATTTACTATACTATAAATAGTTACATAACGAAACTAGATTCAATATGGAACATCCTTAGGTTTTATGTGCCAGCATGGATATGGTTGTCTATGGATATGGATATGGTTGTCTGCAATGCAGACAAACAGCTGCATCTTCATTTGCGTCTTTTGAAAACACCATGAGCAGCAGTTCGTCTTTGCTGTGTCACTGTTTTGTCATGTTTCTGTGCTGCTGTGCATGCAAAAGTACTTAGTATGAGAATTATTTCATGCAAAACTTTTTTTTTTTGCGTTTTATTTAGCCGCGCATAAATGTATGCCTTTCTCTCATTCCGTGTTGTTCAAAAAGCTTGGTCCACAAACAAAAGCGAAACCTATGCTTATTGGTTGTGATATAGCGAGTTTGAACCAATCTGGGCATGGAGGAGGGATAATGCATCAATGTATCATGTCTGATTTGTCCGGAGACACAGTGACGAGCGTTTCTTTGTCAAATCAGCGTTGTCAAATTTTGATGACGTAACCGCACTGATTCCGGAGCCTCTGAAAGTCCGCGTAATGTAATGTGCTACAGCGCTGGAAAGCTGAGATTCTCTTCTTTATGCCAATCTTTGAATTGTATGAATCGGATCAGCGGATCAAAAGTTATTAAACATTTAAGAGCAATACTTATTTTTAGCCGCGGGCGGCTGTCTCGGTCTTTAAGGGTTAAAACCGTTGATATGCAATTGTTCATGGTATGATAATCGTGCACGTTCAAATCGTGGTAAACCGTCATACCGGTATATTGTTACAACCCTATCCATGCTATATGTATAAATAGTGTAATTAACACTAACTATAGCAGTCTAAATAAAAGACATTTAAAGCAAGAAGTTGAAGAGCCTGACTAAAGCAGACTCTGTCCTCCATCATGGTGACTTCAAATGAACAACAGAAATTTCATTAAGAGCTTTTGTTCACATGACAGAAATAGTCAAAGGTCAGTAATAGGTGAAGCTCCATGATAAGTTGTTTAATGTGATGAGTTTTTTTTTTTTTAAGATGTTGAAAAATATTTTTTTTATTGTGTAATTTGTTTTATTTTTATTGATTATTATTTTATTTAGAGTTTTTTTTTTCTCAGTTGATTTCATCTTTGGTTTTGGCTTGTGTTTTTCTTTCCTTCAGTGATTCTGCTTTTTAACAGTTGTTCATCAATAATTCTCAATCCTCCTTTAATTAGACACTTAATTGTCTCATTAACTTCATCACTGTCTGAGTGTTCAGCCCTCTGTAGTGAGGACACTAGTTAGGATTTTGCGTTCGAATGAAAAATACAGACTATGGGATGTATTTTTAACAGAAATATTCTGGAAACTGAATTTACGAATGTAAAATGTTGAAAACAGCAGATTACTGGCAACCACTGCTGCCAGTATTTTGACATACATTTAACAGATATTTTACACAATAAGAGTTTGCTAATTAACACTCTCTGAGTGTTAAAAATTTTAACACTTTCAAAAGTGTTATTTTAACACTTATAGTGGTTCCCATATAAACACTGAGGGAGTGTTAATTTTAACTCTAAGGTAGTTAAATCTACCAAATCTAAAATTTGCAGTGTGAGTTCGATAAAAAATACAGACTGTTGAATGTGTTTTTAACAGAAATGTTCTGTAAACTGAATTAATCTGCTGTTAAAAACAGCAGATTACTGGCAACCACAGCTGCTGGTATTTTTCCCTAAAATCTAAAAATGAAAAAAAAAAAAAAAAAAAAAACAGCTAAACGGTTTTTGTGTCACCATTGTGGAGGATAATAGCGTCTCTGTTCAAGTCCAAGATGTACTGAGAGTATTTGATGTTATGCTGCATCTTCTTTTGTGTAA